CGGCCGCCTCCATTCACTCCTGAACCGCCTCCGCCCACCTCCATTCGCTCCTGCACCACCTCTGCCAGCCTCTGGACCGCCTCCACCTGGTTCAATTCATCTCCGCCCGCCTCTGACTGCTTCATTTCATCTCCGCCCACCTCCGTCTGCTTCATTTCATCTCCGCCCGTTTTCAGGTTAGAGGAGCAAGGGATATCTTTGCTGGGACTTTGACATCCATGGCTTGAAGGGTTCAGGGCAGAGGGACACTATAGCGTTAGGAATATAATTTAGTATTTCTGACACACTAGTGTTCTTTTAAGGCTATTCTAGTGTACTACTACGCAGCATTAAACTAATCCCAATGGAATTAAATAAATTATCAAACTCAAGTGTTTTTGTATCTCATTTCTCAACCAGTAGAAGGTTCTTAAAGCACATAGAACATCTATTTCTCTAGCTCTTCTCATTATATCCTTGTTTTGCTTAAAAACAGCCTAGAATAGCAGAAATTTATTTCAGTAAAACACACTGCATAATGATATAGCATGTTTGTAATATAATTCTCTTACAGTCTTGCCGGCAGATCCTTCTGTAAAAGGAAAGATACAGTCTGTGCGAGACACTCTTGTTTATTTTATGAACTTTTCACAGCCTTGTGAATGAGACAGTACGATATGTATTGCTAGACCCCTAGGTATGGTCATATCAGGTCAGCTGGTTCAGAGCAGGTTGAAATCATCCTATTCGACATGTAACATCCCTTTAGCACCATTATGCCATCTGTAGGTAATGAGCTGCAGTAACAGAATGCCAATCTCTTCTACATTCTGGTGATGTGTTTACACAACTAACTTGTTAAATGCAATGTTCCTAAAAACATATCCTAATGACACTAGGTAGCATGTAAAAAATAATTAGGAATAACATATGTGTTAAACTTTCTTACATTTTGTACAGAAATAAAACCAAAACAAATATTTGCTTAGAAAGAAATTTGTTTGATAGGAGTGTGTTTACAGTGGTCACTATTTTATGATTAGTTAAACCAATGGACAGGATTGGACTAACAACTCGCAAGGTCCTCAGGGAATTGGGCATTAAGGGTCCCGCTCAAGCTCTGTACAAGCACTGTCCACATACAAACACTGCCACCCTGCTGCAATTTGGCCTAGTTTAAACGATTATTTGGTCATCAGCCCCATCAACAGTGAGTCACATCACCTATATATTTAATTATAAGTAATAAACATGGTAAATACACATTTTTATTTTTTCCTTTAATCTTTACTAAGGAGGGATTTCATGGAAGACCAGGCAGAGGGAAGGACTTGGGCGGCATGGGGTAGTTGTCTGTCACCAGTATGCTATGAATGCAGAATTGACAAAATAATAAAACCAAGGAATTCTAACACTAATGAGAGTATTGGTAGAACGCTAAAACAACCCAAACCAGAGTCTCTTCCTTCTGGTAAAAAGTACAGTCCGGTATGGAAATGAGGGATCAGCGCCTTCTAGATAATCTCGAATCCAGGAGATGGGCAATGGATATGTGGAGAGAAAAGAACCAAGACAAAACAATATAGTGTAGTATCTTCTGACAGTTGGTGAAAGGAGTATAAAAACACACTTACGGGGCGGAGCCTGACAGCCAAGCTGAGCGGTCGCACCTCAGCAGAGCTCCTGTCTACATAACCTGAAAAACAAGCAAAACCCTGCAAATTTCAAGCTTTTTACACTCCAGACACTGGGGCTTAACATCGAGACAAGGCATAACCGAGCAGGGGACCGCAAAATGCGACCGATTCCAGGGGATGGACCTGAGGCCTACCTGCGGCCTACTCAGGAAGCATGGGGGAGACGGCCGATCCCTCAGCCGACTGTAGCCTGTAACAAAGGAGGTCTCTCTGGAACACTCCTCTCTCCCCCCCCCCTGCCGGTGAGGGATATCCCGGCAACCAAAGCATGTGGATCAGGACGGAAAAATCGAGTGCAGCCACCTTGCACCACCGGACCGCTGACACAAGGCATGGCGGAGACCACGTGGATCCCGGCATCCAAGCCCAGCTTGCCTCCACTGTCGGAGCGGATAGACCGCCTATTTAACGATTTCTGGGCCAAACTCGCCAGCCGCGGAGACACCCGGGCACAAGTCCCACCGGCATCAGCCACAAAAGGCATTACACAGCAGCCTGCGGCTCCGGTGCAGAACCCGAGAACGATCCAGATAGCAGGGGGTGAGAGGCGGAAGAAACGTCGTAAGACCCAGCGCCCGACTCTTAGGCTACCGGTGAGCTGCCCAAAGCCTCAACGGAGACGATCTCCAGGGCTGCCCCATCACCACCCCTCTCACCCGCGAAAAGTCCGCTCAAAGAACTGGCCTAGCACACTCAGGCAGGTTCCATATCAGAACAGCAGCCCCCCGGGGCTAAAGGCACACACGGGACTCCCGACCACTCACCACTCCAAGTCATCAGGGAACATGGAGGCAGCACGGAGCCAACTCGATGCCCAACGAACGGGAGTGCTTGGTCCACTCACCCCCCCGAGAGGCGGCAAAACATATGGCTGTGACATACCCCTAGCAGGTGTTGGCTGACCGGGACATTTGAAATCACAGATGAGTCATTCACTCTATGCCTCAAACAGTCCCTACTTGTTATTAAGGACGTTTTCCTTGTTCCACTGAGAAATATAGTTTTACACATATGCTCATAAGCTATGTCCTACAACTTACACGCTAACATACTGCAATTATTATGTACCCCTATTGACTAACAACACTAGTATACACATGTGCCAAGCTTTCAACAAAGCACAACCTCTACACACATTTTCTAGGGCTATGTATAAGAACAACGTTCAGCCTGCATAACACTCCATAGCCTCAATAGACTTAGCATGCTCCTACCTTCCTGTATTAACCCATGCAACTAGGCAAAATTAATATGACACACAACTGTTTCTCTATGTCTATGTCTTTAATTTGCTATTCCTACTAAGTTTACGATATTATCTTGTCTATATAACTACTTTAAAAAAAAAAAAAAGTGCAATGTCGTTAATGCCATGTGATTAAGAATGTATGCAAACTCGACTGTACCAGCTATTGTGGCAGTACAAATTCGCTTGTTACCCTCATGCACGAACAAAAATAAAGAATTATAAAAAAAAAAAACACACTTACAATTTTCAGAAGCTGTAGATCAGCCCCAAATGGTAGCGTCTGGGCGGTTTAATCACCACCTATGGATATGGTGGTCCTGTAGGGCCTTGGAAGATGTTGTATCTGGATCTGATCACAGTAGCAATTGTGTGCATCTCCAAACTTGAAAGCAGTGGGTCACCGTTGTAGATTTGTAGAATTGACAAAATGACTACTTGAAATCACTAAACTCATGTTGTTTGAAGTAAGCATTTAATGTGACCACAGAATTTGGGATGTGTCCTACTATCCACTGCAGGGGGAAGAAAAAAAGGGTAAATATACACATTTTGATGCACAAAAACCTACACATTTACTTTCTTGCATACACATACTTTTTTTTTTGTGTGTGTGACTATTATTTCATTATTTATAAAGCGCCATCACATTCTGGGTGGACTTACAGACATGTAATTGTAACCAGACAACTGGACGTACAGGAACAGAGAGGTGGAGGGCCCTGCTCAATGAGCTTACATTCTAGAGATGAGATACAGCTGGGATTATGGTGCTCTTCCTGCAGCTCCCATCTGCATCTGGTAGTGATGCCTGAGCCAGAGTAACGTTACATCGGTTTCCGGCATCATAACCGTGGATGCAAGGAAGCTATGCATTAAGAGTTTAGTGATAACAGCTCCCTCTGCACTATGCCCCTTCTAAACAGTGGAATAGGCTATGGGGGGTGTGGTGGTTAGGGTGAGGAGGGCACACAGGGCAAGCCACTAGGCACCCTCCTGATATCAGACTCTCCGGCATTGGAGTTTCTGACGGGTCAGTCCGCCCCTTCCAAAGGACCTGGGTATCAATAATTGCTAAGTTAGAGACTAACCACTTTATTATAATAAGTTATGGTGCCTGAACTACCCTGGCACTGTCCCTCGTTTTAGTGTTCAACTATATTCTAGCAGTTTAAGAATGAGTGAGAGAGGGAACCTGGATTTCCATGGCCCTGCCCCCCCCCCACCACCGATATGGCTAAGGCAGAGATTACACACTTTCTTCCAGCCATGTTGATGCACACTAGAATGAGACCTGTAATAGGCTGAAAACTGTCAACTGACACTCTCAACCAATCACAGCCGCCCATTGCAAATGCTTCTGCCTTAGCAGCGTAGGGGGAATGAACTACTGAGATCTCTCGGATAACATTGACACATTAAAATTGGTTTAACACTAAAAGGAAGGATGATGTTCATGTAGACACTATAGCCAATTCATTGAGATGAAGCAGTTACCGTGCTTACATTGTCCCTTTAATATCATTGTGTGCAGGGCCGGCCTTAGGGGTGTGCGAGTTGTGCGGCCGCACAGGGCGCCATGGAGCAGGGGACCTCCTGACAGTCAACACAGCTCACACATTGCCCGCTACCCGGGTGGAGGATTTCATTATTCTCCACCCGGGATTTAAAAAAAACAAAAACATGGGGGCGGGGCTAGAAGTGCCGGGTAATTGCTGCATGGGAAGCAGCAAGGAGTCCCTGATTCCCCAACAACCAAAATCCAGGAGCTGCACTACTTCCCCCTCCATAATGAACAGAGGTAACTATATGTGATTGTCTGCTTATGTGTGTGTGTGTGGCTGCCTGCCTGTGTGTGTGTGTGTGTGTGAGTGACTGCCTGTGTGTGTGGCTCTCTGCCTGCGTGTGTGTGTGTGTGGCTGTCTGCATGTGTGTGTGTGGCTGTCTGCATGTGTGTGTGTGGCTGTCTGCATGTAACGGTGTGTGACACTGTATGTGTGGCTGTATGTACGTGACTGTCCATCTGTACCTGTGTGTGTTTGTAATTGCCTATAACTGTGTGTGACATTGTATGTCTGGCTGTATGTACGTGACTGTCCATCTGTACCTGTGTGTGTTTGTAATTGTGTATGACTGTCTGCCTCTGTGTGTTTGTGAGTGCCTGCGTGTGTGTGTGAGTGACTGCCTGCGTGTGTGTGTGAGTGACTGCCTGCTTGTGTGTGTGGCTGTCTGCCTGCCTGTGTGTGTGGCTGTCTGCCTGCTTGTGTGTGTGTGTGTGTGTGTGTGGCTGTCTGCCTGCCTGTGTGTGTGTGTGTGTGTGGCTGTCTGCATGTAACGGTGTATGACACTGTATGTGTGGCTGTATGTACGTGACTGTCCATCTGTACCTGTGTGTGTTTGTAATTGTCTGCCTGTAACTGTGTGTGTGAATGTCTGCCTGCAACTCTGTGTGTGTAATAAATATTTATTTTTAAATCATTATTAATTTAATAAATCCCCTATACAATCACTACAATTCTACACATAGATGACAGGGGAGAGGGGGGCACTGCGCAAATGTTTTGCATGTGGCGCCTAAAGGCCTAAGGCCAGCCCTGATTGTGTGAAGTATGCTGGGTGTGGCTCATTTTTGTATAGATTAAGTAGAAGGGTTCTTAATTTGTGTCACTGTACTAATTTCATAAGTAACATGAAAGAGCTCTCCAGCCTCTTTGCTATATCCCTGAATGACAGAATTTTAACTTTTTCTTCCATCCAAGAATCAAAACTTAAAATTAAAGTTTAATGTCATTTGAGGTATTGATTTGAAGTGAAGCACTGCAAATTGCACGTTTTCTCACTTTAAATGATGCAGTTGGGAACATTCAAGTAAAATCTTAAAATCAATGGTCAAGAGAACAAATTGATACATTATACAAAAAAAAAAAAAATCAGAAAAAGTTCCAACAACATACAGTATTAGATGGTATTGATTTTCTGCCTGGAAACAATGCCAAACTCACCCAGCAGATTTAATTGACTTTTGAGCAGTAGATATTGCTTAACATGGGTAAAGCTCTAACTTCTATCCCCCATAGAAGACTGATCAACATGTTGTCATGTTTTGGATCATACGGTGACAATGTAATTTTTTTGACAAGACATTGGTTAAAGAATAGCTTTTTGTGCACTAAGGTCTGCAGAGCTGTTTATCAATAATATGTAAAGTTATATGTAAAAGAGAATTTAAATACTAATAGAATTGAACCCCGTTTGGTTTCAGTTAATCTCATTTTGAGTTTGGTGGTCTATACATAAGACTAGCTGTGGAATGGCATATAAATGCCACAGATGAACCATTTTAGTTCACTTAATGTCAATTTAAGGTATATATGCATAGCAAAAGATTATAGAAATGAGGATTAAAAAGGATGGAAGTAAAGAGATACAAGGGTGCGAAAAAACTTGAGGTGGGGAAAATACAATTTGGAAAAGATACTTAAAAACCAGGAAGAAAAAAAGAAGGTGTAAGTGTTAAGGTAAAGGGATCCTGGTTTCAATTTGCCATGGTTTTGCGAGACGTACATCTGTTTTACATACCAGTACATGAAAGCTACCCCTTAACAGGGCCGCCATCAGGGGTACAGCCAACACACCCCAATTGTCGGTTTCTGCACACTACAACCGGCTTGCTACTACTGGTATAACTTAATCCTTAATACAAATTTATAGTGCCCCTGCTGTGTAGTATAGTGAAGAGAGGCTCAGGAGAAGTTTCACCCCCAGCAGTATCATCTCGCGAGCGGATAGAACGTTGCCACGGGTTGCCATGGCAATGCTACAATGCAGCACATATTGTGGGTCTGCAAAAGAGGGAGAAAACATGTTGCCGTATAATTTAAGGAGTAAATGCCTCTAGTAGCTGTCTGTTTAGCTGAAGTTTCATATCTTTAGCACAGGGGTAGGCAACCTTTTAGCAGCACTGTGCCGATATAGGATTGTGATGTCCCGTAGCGTGCCGGTCCTATTTTTTTTTTTTTAATTGAGGTGTGTATGCAGCTGTATTCTGCTTGTTATTTTTACTGTAATTGCTTTGTATCGTTGTATTTGTGCGTATATGAGCTATTATATTGTATATGTTCATGAGTAGTTTGTGGTATCGTGTATGATACATATGAATGTGGGCTGTGTATGGGGGTTGCTTATGGAATTGTGTCTGTGGATGGTTATGTCACATTGTGTGTTTGGTAGTGTGTGGGGGCTGTTTGGGGTATTGCATGTGAGAGGCTGCATGTGGGGTTGTGTGCATGTATGTGGATTGTTAGTGGTGTTGCGTTTGTGCGGATTGTGTGTGGGCTGTCCGTATTATTTGTATGAGGGGAGGGTTATTCTGCATTTCTGTGTACATCTAGCAGTGTGGGTGGCTTCCCTGGGTTCCAGTGGGAACCAGGCCAGCCAGGTACCAGTGGCGGATCCAGAGCCTGATCTCGGGAGGGGCACTTGTAGATTATTTAATTAAATAATCCAGGCACAATAACCACTACAGCTCAGTGTAGTAGTTATGGTGTCAGTAGTGCCAGGATTCCACCCCAGAGTAAGTAGTCATACCGTTTAAGAACAGTTTGACAATTTACCTGGGGTCTGCTGGGGTATAGGAGCAGTGGTGTGTGTTAAGGGTGAAGTGTGTGAGTGCGGCAGTGTATGTCAGGGTTGTAGTGTGTGTGTTAGGGGGCAGTGTATGTATGGGGGCACTGTATGTTTTTTTTTGGGGCAGTGTGAGAATGGGGGACAGTGTGTGTGTATGGGGACAGTGTGTGTATGGGG